CGTTTGTGTTCACACGTTGGAAAAGCTTTTTTTCTGCCTTGCTCTTTGCCTAAGGCCCTTATTATCTGCAGGTGCTATTTATCAGTGCACAGCAGGTACATTACTGTAAGGTCTCTTCCATAAGTGATACGAAATAATCACTCCTGTTCCTCATCTGCTCAGCGAGAAAAGCAATCCCGACTCACACATGTCAGTATTCCAGAGCCACAGCAGTTCTCTTACTGCAAGAGAAGTGATGGAACTCAATCTGCTTTCCTTCTAAATGGCAATAGTTCCATAAAACAAAAGGAGGATCGGGGAGAGCATTCCTCTCCTGCTCCAGGGCTGCACCATGGGGCTGGGAAAGCTTTCAGTGAGCCAGAGACACTGGGAATCACAGAATGGTTTGGGTTGGAAGGGACCTTAAAGCTCCTCCAGCTCCAACCCCTGCCACAGGCAGGGACACCTTACACTGGAGCAGCTTGCTCCAAGCCCCTGAGTCCAACCTGGCCTTGGAAGTGCTCATTGAGGGCAGATAACTTCCAGTTTGCTCCCAAAGCGCATGAGATGAAGGAGAAGTCTTCAATAGCAGCTCATGCCTCTAAAAAACCCAGTTCTCCTCCTCCTCTGCATGCTCCTAACAGCTCCTCACCCCCTCTCCTGTCTGGCTTCAGGGAAGGGATGCACAAACCCTTTATGCCGTTTTAATTCATAGACTCATACAATGGTAATTAAATGCTTGTTGAAGTGTCTTGAGGTATCTGCAAGCCTCTAAGGCACTATGGAAAGTGCATTTCCCCACTGAAGTTACAGAGGGAGATTGTGAGGACCCAGGAGATGCAGAGGAGCCATAAACACCAACCTGAGTGCCGGCTTTGTGGGACCCATGGGAAGAGCCAGAGCCCAAGCTCTGGAGCATCTCTGCATCACTTCTGCCCTTGGAGCGATGGCCCCTGCAGAGCAAAGGGGATGATTTAATGGGCTGCCTTTCCTGGAGCACCGGGGATGTGGGTTTTGTTTGCCTTTCTCCTCCCCCAGGGACTGAGGTTTAATATTACCTTCCCATTAATTTATACGAGGACATTTCCAAATAGTAAACTGCCAATAAATTAGTAATGCTGATCTATAAAAAGAAAAATATGGTGTGTTGCGAGTTTATAGCCCTGTGGAAAAGACATTAAGCAGAGGACTCCGTATCACCGAGCGCTCCGAGAATGGGGGCCTGGATGCAGACCCCAGTGCATCATGTCTATTGATAGCAGCGCTCACCTTGGCTGCAGGGGCAGTCAGCATCCTCACCTCTGCCCAGGATAAAACCTTATCATAGACTGATCCTGCCTTTATCTCTTATGAAACTCTCCTGCAGAAACAGGCTCCTGAGCAGGTCATGGGTGATGTGAGGCTGCGGGATTCCCGGCCTTGGACTGAACTCATAAATCCTGCGGCTCCTTCCCTGCACAGGGGAGCACCAGGAAGGGTTTGTGCACACGCACAGGCTTCCCCTGTCACCGCTGCTCTAAAGGTAAGTGGAGCTGATTGATAATTTTCCCACTGAAGAGACACGGAATGACACAAACAGGATTTGCCATCTGAGGCAGCGATGCGCCCCTGCTGCTCTCCAGCACAGCCTGTGCCTATCCAGAGCTCCGGTCTCCCCCAGAAACACATGGAGCAAACAGAGGATGGGAACCTCGTTCCTTCCCCATTTCCCGTGTGTTTGATGCATGGCTCAGGACCCACTCCTGGCTTGGCATCAGCACCACGGGGCATTCCCAGAGAGGCTTCTTCCACTGGGAACAGCAAGGATGGGCAGGTTGGGTTTGGGATGCACTGCGGGATAACCCTCATCCAGCACATTCCCTTCTCCAGCTTATCCCCTCCCCAGCCGAGAGGCGAGCACGGATGTCAGCCAGCCCGGAGGGATGCGGAAGGGAACTTTGATCTCCGCTGTCAGCACCCCTGACGGCACAGAAGAAAAGCCAGCGCTTTCCAGTTGGTTTTTAGACACGCTCCCCCCCAGCGCCTCTTTGTCAGACAGGGAAAAAAGCACAAAACCGTTCTCAGCGACCAAACCAAAGGCGATGAAAAATGAATGAGGAGACAATGCAGCCTGGAGAGTACAAACAAACGATGTGGAGCAAATAGTTTATTTTAAGATGCTAACAAATTTGCTCCAGAGGCCTGCAGAAAGCAGGCAGGTACCACTGAGCCAGCCTTTCCCTTATTTATGGGATAATTACAGTGATTGATTAGCCCTGATCAGAAGTGTATTTATAGCATGGAAGTTTTCAGTAATATTTCATGTAATTCACGTCCCAGCTCTGCTCCCCATCGCTGTCATCCCAGCTCCGCTTTCTGTTCCCCTTGAAACCTGCCTGCAGGACGATTTATGGCTTTGTTTGTGGGGAAAGCAGGTGTCTTGCTCCAGAGAACAGCAGCAACACAAGCGCTCAAGGGTAAATCCCTCTTGCCAGCAGAGGCAGCCAGAAAACACGTCTTCATGTCCTGCTCCATATACCCATGCCCTCCCTCTGTGCTGGCTGCTTGATACAGATCGTGGTTTTCATAGCATCACACAATCCCAGACTGGTTTGGGTTGAAGGGACCTTAAAGCTCATCCAGTTCCCCACGGGCAGGGACCCCTTCCACTGGAGCAGCTTGCTCCAAGCCCCTGTGTCCAACCTGGCCTTGAGCACTGCCAGGGATGGGGCAGCCACAGCTTCTCTGGGCACCCTGTGCCAGCGCCTCAGCACCCTCACAGGGAAGAGCTTCTGCCTAAGAGCTCAGCTCAGTCTCCCCTCGGGCAGGTTCAAGCCATTCCCCTTGGCCTGTCCCTACAGGCCCTTGTCCCAAGCCCCTCTCCAGGTTTCCTGCAGCTCCTTTAGGCACTGGAGCTGCTCTCAGGTCTCCCCTTCAGGAGCCTTCTCTTGTCCAGGCTGCCCCAGCCCAGCTCTCTCAGCCTGGCTCCAGAGCAGAGACAGTTTCAGCACAGGGAAGAGGCAAACACTGTAAGAAGTTTGAGACGAAACACCCAAATATTTGGTTTCTGACCCAAACAATCACTAAATCCTTTTTCCCCCTGCACCTGCAGTTGTTTTCCCAGAAAGCAGCAATAAGGCAAGCGGGGGGCAGCTGGGAAGGACAGGGCAGCACTTGGGGATCCCCAGGGGTGCAGTCACACCATGGAGCACCAGTGCATGGCTTGCACAAGGGCTTGTGCATGGACCGAGTGCCTGAGGCTGCAGACAGGCAGCCAAGATGCACATCACCAATCACCTGCTCCCATGTCTGCTGCTGTCTCCTACCCCAGCCCGAGCTGCAGGGCTTTATTTAAGCCCTTCCCCACTCTCCCCTGGTCTTCTTTTATCTCACAATAAAAAGCAGCCGTTATTTGCTATTTGTTTCACCCTGCACTCATTCACATTCACACACACACACACACACACAGTACTACACAGTACTTGCAGGGCTGGCAAGCAGAGACTTGAAAACTGAGGGGGAAAAGTAGCTTAAAGTTTGGAGGTCCTTAGGAGCAAAGGAGGCTGGAAACAGGAGCTGCTGCGGTCAAGGTCCTGCTGCAAACCGATTGATCCTCATCAGCTCCTCTTTGCTTGCCTGCACAAATACCCCCTCCTGCTGCCCAGCTTCCCTCCTGCTTGCGGGCTGCCACAGGCTGTGGGGAACCTTTAGTTCTCTGCTTCCAAAAGGCCTTCTTAGGGCCAGTTAAACCTCACACACCAGGCCCAGATTCAGAGCCTGACACTAATAGGATTAACGACCAGAGACCCACAATAGCTCCATTATGGTTTGGGAATTGAATGCATCTTGAAGCAACCAGGGTGTAATCTGGTTCCTTTGTTAAAATAGCATCTATAAAAAGCAGTCTAAAGCCAGCCCGTCCATGGGGCCCTGCAGACAGATGAGAAGGATGCTCCGTGTCCCGGGTGGCATTTGTTTTCATTAGGTGGGCGGAAGAGACCTGATGGAACCAGTGTGATCCTTCAGTAACCTTGTTGGCTCTGGGAAAGGCAGACGCTTTCAAACCAGCTCAAAGAGAAATGAACCCCAACGAGCTCAGACTTCCACATCCCTCAGCTTCTTGGTGGGGACTCTCAAACGCTGCTCTTTCCACCACAGAGGAGCACATCCCTGCTTCCAGCCCGGCCTCCCCTCTCGCTCGGTCAGCTTTGCTAAAGCCTCTCCACTCATCCTCCAAATCATCTTGGCACTGAAGTCATCCAGGGCAGTTGAATGACTTCTACAAACAGGCTAAGCAGCACCAGGCCCTTTTGCCTCCTAATTAGAAGCCCTCTTCCCTAATACTTCTCAGGTCACAGCTCCCGCCCCCATGTCTATTTATGCCCCTAGGCTTAAAACTGTGTGACTTGTCCGGCTTATGCACCCACGTGTGCTTCACCCACTCTTCTCCTGCCATCTCCATCCTCTCTGCAGGAAAACCACTGAGAAACTTTCCCTCTGCCCCATTTCTTGGCTCTGCACCCTGTTAATGCGGATGCTCCTTTGGCTCCAGCTCTCTTGGGACCCACTGTCTTAATGATGGACACCAGCATTAACAGGAGCAGCCCTCGGCTGCCCCAGAGACCCTCCTTCCCCACGTTACACATAGGAAAGGAAAGGTGCCTCCTGGCTGCCTCTGCCACCTCGTCCCTCTGATGCCAGAGATTTCCCTGATAAGCTCCCTGTTTCCCAGGCACGCAGCACAGAACTGCTTCTCCTGCGCTGAGCAGACAAGATGTTGAAATGTTTTCTCCTGTGATAACTGAAAGGGGAAGAAAACCTGCCCGCGACTGTTGTCAAGCCGAGGGATCTCTTTGTAGTGCACTGAATCATTTCATCCCCCATGTTAATTTCAAAGCAAACAAACAGAGCTGAATGCATTTGATAGTAGAATTATTTCCAGTACATTTGAGGTTTTGTTGCTCTGGGTTGTAAAACACCACTGCACGGCACAGCTGGGGGGGGACTGGTGGTGGCCCTGGGCTGACTGCACCCCATTGCACCCCTTTATACCCCACTGCATCCAGTCCTGTGCTGGGGGAGCAGAGGATGCTGCTGCTCCTGGGAGCATCCCCAGAGCATCCCTGATTCTGCAGGCACAGCAGGGAAGGTTCATTACCACAGCAGATCAAGAGTTAAAAACCGCTCTTGAGAAAAGGGAGCTGCAGAACATCAGCCCCGTTCCACCTCAAAAGAGCAAAAATGAATTGGAAAAGGGCAAAGTGCGTGAAAAGGCTGCATTGTAATAAAAGCGACGTTTAAAAGTGCCACCGAGAATTAATCACGCTTTCCTTCAGAGCTTCCCTCTGTGGGCTATTCCTGGGAATCTGTGGATGGGAACACAAACAAGGAATTGGTTTTATTTTGTGTGTAAACGAGATCAGAGGTGTAATTGCCCTGGTTTAGAGGCAGACACCTTGGGTTGCCAGCATGCTGCAAGGAGCAGAGCCCTGCATCCCCCTGCTCTGTGGCTTTCGGAGGGGGCAAGTGGTCCTGGTGGCCAGCCTTGCCTCAGCTCCAGGCTGGCAGCCCCAGGAGCTCACTGCAGGGGTGATGGAGATGTTTTAGGGGCAGTGGGTCAAGGCAAGAAGTGAGATGGTGCTGGGAGAGCAGGAGGTGCCTCTGGTGCGAGCCCGGCACCGCAGGGACCGGGCTGCCCTCCAGGCTGGCTAAATGCCTGAAGCTGGGAGGCTTCTCCCCATCCCAGAGCCAAGGACTGGCTCTAATGCTTCCCAGCGAGAGGCAAAGTGCTCCATCTGCTTGGCTTGTTGCTGCCCAGAGCAACAGTGGTCATAGAGGGGCCCATGGAGCCCAGGGCAGGGCTGGGCAAGGAGCAGAGATGCTCTCCTCCCCATCACCTCATCCCACCTCTTCCCTGCTACCTGGGTTATCCCTGACACCCACCAGCCACTCACTGCTGAGTGGAAATGAGTTGCAAAGGATGGATGGGGAGGACCAGCACCAGCGGGTGCTTTGTCATCAACTCCTGCTGGCAGCAAGCCCAAGGAGCAGCACCTTCTCAGACACACCGAATCAATGCTATCCTACATCCCCAAACCTTTAAACACCAGGCAGGCAGTTTGTCTTCTCTTATGGCAGCTAAGGAGCCTGGCCAGATTAAATAATCCAGCAGCAGTCATTGCAGGTCACTTCTGTCATATTAATGGTTTCCCTGCCTAGAGCAAAGCAGCGAGGTGAGGAGCCAGGCTTGGACCAACGCCACAGCAGCATCGCTTGTCTGCAGGGGAGCCCTTGTCAATGAACATCACAACAAGCTGGATGCAGTCGGTGATGAGGCAGTGTGATCCCAGTGTATGCCATGCCCTGGATCCCGCCTGGCAGATGTCCCACTATGGGATGGGGATGTGGCCTCTGTGGGCTGCTCTGTGCTGCCAGGGAGACAACGGAGGGGGAACTACCTGAGACTCTGCTTTATTGCCCCCATTTAATGAAGTAGTGAATCATTTGGAGCTTTAGAATTCTGTTTGGATGCTTCAGTTGATAGGAGGAGTTGAAAGCCTGAGTTTTCCTTAGAAACAGAAAGCAAATTGGAGACAACATGGAAAGCATCATCTGATGTATCTGAAAGCCTTTTGTAAGCACTTCCCGGGAATATCAGTATAAAGACTGGCAGAAAGCAGCTTCACAGCTTGGGTGCTCGTATTTGATGCTTGCAAACGTTGCATGACAGATTCAGCTGTAAAACACACAACTTGTGCTGCGAGGTAATTCCCACCAGGAAGCAGGAATCGCTGCATCCCTGATTCACTCAGGCATCATGTCGCCCATTCACAGTGTCCTTGGATGCTACAGAAGGATCTGTCCCCTTGAAGGAGGATTATTTCTGGGTGGCAAGCCACAAGTTAATTTGAATCTAATCCCTTTCAATGGAACCAATAATTGGAGTGGTAATGACTCTTACAGAGGTCTCTCCTAGGGCACTAGAAGGTTTGCAGGCAGATGAACCTGATATCCACTGGCCCAGGGGGACAGTCCCTTACAGGCAGTGGGAATGGCACTAAGGCATATGCATATATACACCACAGTGATGGGCCAGGACCCCAGGCAGACACCCTGGAGCTGCAGGTCTCCTCCTGTCACCCTGAGCTCTTCATCACCCCCTTTCAGCAAAAGGGAATGAGAATAAACAGCTTTAATCATACAATCCCCACTTCCTATTGCTAATAATATTATCACCATGATATTAAGCCAGTTAATTCTTTCTCTCTATTTATTTGCTTCTGGTTTTGTACTCCCATGTTGTAATTTTCAATTTAATTACTTTCAGTGTTTCTGAGGGCAATAGGCCTTGGTTTATCTTTACAGCTAATAGTCCTAATTGTTTACCCTTTCTTCAGCAATATTTCATTAACTTTATGGGCCATCGTAGCATCTCCAGAATTAATTCCCTCATTATTTGAGCCAAATCCCCCCCTTTTTGCATCTCTAAGCCTGCTTGACCTTGTTCACCCTCATGCTGTTGCTGCAAGCCCTGAGGAGGAGAATGGAGCCAATGCTGGGTAGGCAGCAGGGCTGTGCTTTCCCTCCTGCATCCCAGAAGGGTTTGTACCAGGGATATCTCATGGTGGGTGCGATGGGAAAAGGAGCATGCACTGGGCAAAGAGGGGCTTAACAGCAAGTGATGCTGTCAAGGGAAGGGTAACCACTGAGCCCAGGCTTCTGCTGAGCAAGGGCAAGGAAGCAGAGAGGCTTTGGGTCATGCCTTACACCGATATCAGGTCACAGCAGCGAGAGGAGCTTTGTTTCTCAAAGTGCACTTTTGATACATCCAATCAAGCAGGCAATTTAGAAGAGAAACTGAATCAGGTCCCTCCTGAATACAGATTTTGCCCACGCTGAAGGCAGGCTGCGCTCCAGGGACCGCAGGGCACAGGAAACTTCTGCAGCAGTAACTGCGGTCACACTTCTCTTCTTCTGTCTTCCACAGTTGGTCCTGCTCTTCCGACACCGGTTTGGTGGTTGGTTGTACCTTAAACATGCCAGGGGCACTTTTCCTGCAGGCCCCATTGACTCCAATGAAGGCAAAAGATCTTCCCTCCAGCAAGGGAAGAAAAAGGTGTTGGGAAACTGAAGCATCACATTGCTATTAAGGTAGCTCATGTGATGCAGAGCTCCTCATCCCTCTGCTGGCTCCATGAGCGGGTTCGGATGCTGTGGCTTTGGCAGAGCAGGGCTGTTGATTCTCAACATGGCACCGTTAGTGCCAGTTAAGCAGAGAGCCTACAGATAGCTTCACCACCCCCAACTCCTGCCTTCAGACCCCATTGATCACACTCCTAATGAGTTTGTGTTCACAGATGAGATGGTTTTGGCTGCAGAGAGGAGGCGCAGATTATATCTCCCATTGACTGCTTCATCCCGCTCGGATGATCTGTACCAGGAAATGGCTCTGAAGTTTCAGCTTCAATCACTCTCCAAGAGCAGGCTTGGCACGTGGAGGTGTTCAGCTGGAATGATCACCATGAACTTGGGATTCTCCCTCCTCTCCACGTCCAGGGTCAGACCCAACCTCCCCTCCAGATTCCAAGGGCAGCAGCCCTGGCTCTGTATTCAGTGGTGGCAGCAGGGACAGGGTGGCACTGAGACGTGGCTTCACACTTAGCAGGCAGTGAGGTGAAAGCTTGGAGAGGGCAAACCCCACATCAGGGCAAAGATGGCTTTAATTTCTTATGGTGATCAAGGTGGTTTGGATAAATGGCTTTGAGGAACAGCGAGGGAAGGACAACAAGCCTAAAGCTCCTCAGTAGTCTTAGTGGGTCTCAGCAACCACTGGCACACAAAGTGCATGGGGGTAGACAAACACCTGTACCTGCAAGACTTGGAGAAACACACCTGAAGGACAAATCAGCCAAATACTTCTGCCAAATTCCCTATTATATCTCTTCCCTTTGGCTATTTTTCATCTTCCATGGGCTGCCTCCCTCATCCTCAGTCATAGCATCACTTCCACCTCCTTGCCTGAGAGCCAGTTTGAGCCATTTTCTGGATGCATCCATCTCTCAACTGCTATTGTATTTGTCTTCTGGATTGCACAGAGGAAAGCCATTCCCTAAACACCAGAGAAAGGTGGGCAGAGCAGCCAGGTGTAGCAGCAGAACCTTCTGGAAGGGAGCCCATGGTGAGTGGTGGCATTTCTCTAACCCTGTATTGACTTTGGCTTCCAGAATCAATTTTCTTTATTAGCTGATGAATCTCCTCAAAAGACTCTCTGTACCAAATCCGGATAAATTATTTAAGCCATAAATTCTTTCCACTCTAGCACTGTTACGGCACAGTGATTTCATAGGGAAGAGCAATAGCGAGGGGTTTATAGGGACAAGGTCACGATCAGTAAAACATCAGAGCAGGTTTGCTAATAAGTGACTGCACAGCTCTGTAAAACCAGAAGTGATTAATAAAAAAGAGGTTTTTGACAAAGTGCGATTGGTGGCAACTATATAGGAGGTGACAGTCTTGATTTGTCATGGAATCAGAGTGATTTGGGATGGAAGGGACCTTAAAGCTCATCCAATTCCAACCCCCTGCCATGGGCTGGGACACCTTCCAGGTCTGCAGGTGAGAGGACGGGCTCTGGGGACAATGATACTCACTGCGGCCACTGCAGTGATGTCCATTTGCTCATCATCCCCCTAAACCCAAGGTGCTGGCACAGGCTACATCAAAAGGACCCTGCTCCTCATCCTGCCTCCCCCTATGGTCTGCTGCCCATGTCTGGTTTGCTTTATAAATTGGGCTTCACACACTCGTCAGGGGTCAGGGAGCTTCAAGGCCAGAGCTAAGCACAGAGCAAGAAGTGAGTCTGCCTCCAAGAATAATGCTGGCTCGCGAGGTCAGAGAATTCCAACATATTTATAGCCAGGAAAAGAAAATGATTGTGTTAAACGGCGGCTGAAGTCCGCAGAAGCCTGGCAAGAGCTGCTGGCTGCGGCCATTTGTTATGTTACCGGGAGCACAATTCCACAGCTCAGCATTCTCCTCCTGTATCCTTCAGTGCAATCCTTCTCCCCAGCCCACTTTGGGGATCAAAAGGCTAATGTATATTTTCTGCAGAATAGAACTGTAAATCAGAGCCTACCCTCAGGTTTAAGAGGCTTTCCTGTTGTGCTGCTGCAGGAGTCACAGAGCTCAGCAGAGGAGCCACGGGGCCAGTGTGTGTGCATGCATCTCCCCAAGCTCTATGTAAAGGGGCAAGTTTTCAGACCCAAGCTTTAAAGTCCCCCCATGCCCCCAAGCTGAAGTGAAAACCTCAATAAAGCCACTGAACAGTTTGGGTTGGAAGGGACCTCTAAAGCTCATCCAGTCCAGCCCCTCTGCAGTAAGCAGGGACATTACTACATCAGATTGCTCAGAGCCCCATCCAACCGGGCCTTGAACGTTTCCATCTAATTGGCATCTACCACCAACCTGGGCAGCCTCTTGCAGTGTTTCACCACTCTCACTGTAAACATTTCTTCCTTATATCTGCTCTGAATCTACCCTCTTTTAGCTTAAAACCTTCCCCTCCACTCACAATTCACTTGGGGCAAATTCCTAGGGAGAACCAAGCACAATTAGCACCTGCCTGTTAATTTTTCAAGCATGCTCCAAGAACAAAGCAGACACAAAGAAAACATTCAGCCAAACGATGCCGATGGCTTTGCTGCCTCGGCACAATGCCCAACCCTTCCCATCACCTGCTGGGAAAAGCTCCAGCTCTGGCTCCATCACTCACCGCTTGCAGTCCCAGTCCATGGGTCTCCCAGCTTGAGGTTTCCATACAGACAACCAGCAGAACAGCCCAGCAAAGAGAGGAAACCTCCAGTGATGGGTTTTAAATAGCTGGGATAACCACTGCCACCTGCTTCTGTGCTCCCTCCCATCAAGGGGGGAGATATCCACCTGCAAACCTGAGCTGAGCACCTGGGGAACTGGTTCTTCTTCCCAAGCCACTGGGAGCAGTGGTACAGGCATGGTGATGTGCATCCAGGTCCTCTATGTCCCCACTGCAGGCACAGGCAGCTCGGTAGAGAGCTCATCAGTGCTCCCATCCACCCCAGCAGCAGAGCCTCAGCAGCAAGAGGGGCTGGAGGGATGAATTCAGAGTACATTCACCTGGAGCTGTACACATCCAACCCAATTTATTCAGAGCGGGCTGCTCACAGCAGCCTCCAGAGTGTGTTTATCAGCCAGGCTACTTGGGAGATCATTGCCATTGATTGCCATGTCATTGTCACTTGTGGGCACCACGGGAGGCCTGAGGAGCTGGATTACATCCCCGGCAGTAAGGGATGCTCTGCGCAGTGCCTCAAGGGGAGCAGACCTCAAATGCTCCTGAACTCTGGAAAGCCAGGTACAGCAGTGTGACCTGCCAGAACCATTGTATGGCATTGTCATGCATTTATGGATTTCTACGGTGCCACCTGCGAGGAGAACATAGGAGGGTTGAGAAAGGAGAAAAGAAAATCCTGCCTGTTGGCAACAGGAGCAGAGCAAGCGCTCCATGGGTAAAAGGCAGGATTTCTTCATGGAGAAGAGGTGGGGGGCTGGGAAAATCCTCTCCCCTAAAGGAAATCAAAGAGCTCAGACTATTGAGCTTATTAGAAGAAGCCTCAGGGATGACCTGGCTCCCTTGCACAGGGAAGTCCAGCACTGGGACCTTCCAGGTGCAGCGGAGCATTGTGAGGATCAAAGGATGGCAGTTTAAGCCAGGCAGGCTCCAATTCACTCTGAAGGCTTTCTTTTCCCATAGCACCATGGGCAATTACTGATGCTGAGAGAAATGATGGGCTCTTGGTAGCGCAGTGTAGGTGCAGTGGCCGGGCACTGGAACAGGAGGGAAGGCTCGGACAGAGGAGCAGGGATGGCACCAGCCTGGGATGCAGAGGCTGTGTGTGCTGCTCAGAGGGATAAAGTCACACACCAGCCACAGGGGGATGGCCACAGAAGAGGGCAAAGCTCTCCTGTCTTTACTGCGAATCCCTATTGCTGATCCTGACCTCCTGGATCAGCTGTTGATCAGCACATCTCCAAGCACTCTCTAAAGGAGGCTGTGCTCGTTGTCCCCTTTTTGTGCAGAGCAGCAGATTGAAGCCCACTGGAATTGCCAGTGCTGAGCACTCTGAATATGAGGCTTTAAATAACTAAGGCTGCAGGGGACAAGGGGGAAGCAGGGTATGGTAACCTGAGCAGGAGGATGTCCATGGCTCAGGAGAAACACCTCACAGCACTTCACAGTCACCAGCAACGTGAGCATTCCCATCAGCATCACCCTCTTGTCATCGAGGCATAGGCAGGTCGAGGTGCAGCCTGGTACAGACAGGCAGGACAAGAAGCCCCTGGAAAAGTAACGGAGCCAATTCCATGACCCAAACCCCTCTTGGTGAACCTCACACCAAAACAGCCCAGGCTTTGCAGTTGCTGGGGGGTTCAGCTTGTTTGCCTGTTTGCTCTTTGCCCGCTGTATTTCCCGCTGCTCCTGTGTGTGTTTGCACTTCGCAGGCTTTCATCGGGACGGCTGAACAAAACCCATGGGCAGGCCGCGGTGCTGCAGCGATAAGTAACAGGAGGCACAAATTAGAACAAATAAATCTGAATCAAATTCAATTCCTTGTGCAATCAGGAAGATCAACACGTCAAAGTGCAGGCGCTATAGATTAACGGCTGCCAAGAAGACAGGCGAAGGCGCTTCCCAGCTGCTGCGGCTGCTATTCCAAAGGCATTTATTCTTTGCTGAGCGAGCTAGAGCCCTGCAAGCTGAACAGCAGGAACTTTCCCTCTGCTGCCAAGAGAGCTTTTTGCCACCGAAAGGTTCCTTTCAGCAAGATTCCTTTCCATCCAAGGGGGAATGGGTTGAGGCTGAAAGAGGGGAGCTTTAGATTAACACATTAAGAAGCTCTTCCCTGTGAGGGTGCTGAGGCGCTGGCACAGGGTGCCCAGAGAAGCTGTGGCTGCCCCATCCCTGGCAGTGCTCAAGGCCAGGTTGGAGCAAGCTGCCCCAGTGGAAGGTGTCCCTGCCAATGGCAGGGGTTGGAGCTGGATGAGCTTTAAGGTCCCTTCAACCCAAACCAATCTGTACCGTTTGCTTTTTCACGCCCTCCCTCCGTGCCATTTGAATTTTATTGGGTTCTTGTGCTTAAAATTACAAGCAGGTCCTTTGAATTGGCATTAGTTCTTTCAATATGTGCTGCATCTTCGTGTGTCATGGCAGCACGAGCCAAGCACATTAGAAGCTGCTAGATAATAGGCAATTACTGCTCTTAAACAGACGAGGCATTCACTAGCAGAATGGGCTGCATCTTAAATCATCCATAAATTCTCTAATAGTGCTTCTATTAATACCTGGTTTCTGGCACATTCCTAATGATTGTGTTCCGTATCAAAGCACCGCCTTTCCTCGGCAAAGCAGCGCTGCCGTGTGGAGGAGCCGAAGGCAGGAGCTCTGGGACACAGGGCACCTCAGCTCTGGATTCCCCATGGCACATTCTGTAGAATCATAGAATGGTTTGGGTTGGAAAGGACCTTACAGCTCCTCCAGCTCCAACCCCTGCCACAGGCAGGGACCCCTTCCACTGAAGCAGCTTGCTCCAAGCCCCTGTGTCCAACCTGGCCTTGAGCACTGCCAGGGATGGGGCAGCCACAGCTTCTCTGGGCACCCTGTGCCAGCGCCTCAGCACCCTCACAGGGAAGAGCTTCTTCCTTATCTCCAACCTGCACTTCCCCTGTTTCAGTCTGACCCCATCACCCCTTGCTCTGTCGCTACAGGCCCTGATGCAGAGCCCCTCTCTCGCATCCAGTTTTGGTAGAGGCTGAGGCTTTAGACCCCTCAAAGTGTCCCAGGGCCGGGTGCCTCGGCGGTGCAGCAGCGGCACAGCAGCCCCGCTCAGCGCACACGGCTGGCTGTGAACACCACTTGTCCTCCCTCTTGAGCCATTGCACCCTCCTCAGAACAAGCAGGGACAATTCACGTCTCATTAAATGTTTTTGACATATTATCCTTTCCTTCTTCCCAGCGCTTTCTCCCTATTAAACCAGAGTCGTGCATCCTTTGGAGAATACAAGTCATTTGTTACCATAACAACACCTTCTCCTCCCGCGCCGCTGCTCCTCTCCCTGCCCTTGCCCCTGCTGCAAGCAGCAAACCTCAGTGGCCCCGGCGGGAGCAGGACCCCCAGTGTTTGACATGGTCCTTTGATGGTTCAGCTCTGGGTCTGGGTCTGAAGCTCGGAGGAGTCAAGCCGCCTCTGGCATCATTCCCTCAAAGCCAGAGCCCCACGTGCGGCATCTCAGCAGCGCTCCGGCCCGCCGGATCAGGTCAATGCATCCATCTCCCAGGACCTCCCTTATAACCAAATCCCGACTGCACAAGGTTCTGCAGTGCCTGCAGCTTGGATTGGTTTTCCTAATTGCCCTGAAAGCTGCCCAGAACCCATAGGAAAAGCATTGCTCTGAGAACTTCCTTCCCCAGGTACCTCTTGTAATGCCTGTTAGAAATCCCGCATCCCACCCGGACCCTTGCACCAGTGCCAGGTTATAACCCTGCTACATTCACACAAGAGATGAAGCTGCCAAATTAGATTTACTTCCATAGTCCCCATCTCCTGCATCCCAAGGGGGTGGGATACCCCTGGCCACCCTGGTCCCCCACAGCAAAGCTCCAGGCAGCTCCATCTATGGCTAAACTTGGGCTATTTCATAAATGGGAGTGTCATGTGGTGTTAGTGCTCACCTTTGTGAATCTCCCTGACACTATCTGACTTTATTAGGTCCATAAATGAAATTAAAATACAGTTAAAATGGATTTCTTAAATGGACTCATAAAAGCTTTTGATGGAAGAAACACTTTATTCTTCTCACTTCTTTATGACATCCATCCGCAATTCTCCTTGCACTGTGAACTTTTGATGACTTAGAATTCGTATGTAGTCCCCTGGAGCCACCTTTATGACATGGTGTAAATCCCACAGCAAAGCCAGGCCTCAGGAGCATGCAAAGGACAAAGCCATTGGGGTGGCAATGTCAACGTGCCGGGGACTGGCTCTTTGTGCTGCTTCTCTCAGGAGTACAATGGGATCGGCCTTGGAAAATGCTAGATGTTGCTGTAGGATAGGGCTTGGCCAACCTGGTCTAGTGGAAGGTGTCCCTGCCCATGGCAGGGGGTTGGAAGTGGGTGAGCTTTAAGGTCCCTTCCAACACAAACCACTCTATGATTCTATATTGTGATACTACACCATGCTATGCTATACTACACCATTTGTTATGTTGATATTGATAATGGTGACGGTGATGATGATGATATAAATGGTGCTTGTTGTGTCTCCTCAGCTGTGTGCAGACAGAGGTATCCAGAGGTGCTGGATCCCATTGGGTAGCAAGGAGATGGCAGGGTTCTGGGGACATGATGCCACCCCAACCACTGCTCCCATAGGGGCAGCAGATGATGTCCAGCCACTTGATGCCACAGCACTGAAATAAAGATGATTAAGGAGATATTCCAGCCTCTTCCTTTTTCCCTCTCCTCAGTAAATGTCATGCTTCAGGGGAGTATAGCCAAGAAAAGTTCAAAGTAATAATATCAGAAATCTGCTTCTCTTTTCCTTTTGACATTTTATTGTGATATGAAATAGCAGGGGATAAAAGCTCTAATGGGGATATTTGGTTCTTTCTCTCAGTGAGCATTTGAAACGCTGGCTGGTTGTGACTCACATGTATTATGATATATGCAAATCTTCAAGGGCCTCATTCACAAAGCCAAGGCAGCCACGGCTGCTCTTTCAGGGGATTTACTGTGTGGGAGCCAA